AGCATCATGTCTAGACAGTAGACACTTAAAACATTTGTTCTCTTCTGAGGACTTCTCAAAGTAAGCTTTCAGACAAACTTATGCTCACTTGTCATCACTATTTATAAAACAGATACAGCTGGTCACAGTTCAAAGGAATCACACACTCAAGAAATCAGAGTGAAAGGAGCATCAGTTCTCATTGGTTTATAAAACTTTGAAACCTTAATGGGAAAAACATTAGTGGTTAACAGAGCATGGTATGTGTGTGTGAGCAGTTTGAGTGTGTACTGAGGGTTTTCAAGCACAGCGAGCCATCGTCCAAAAAGGGCAAAAAATGACAATTGAGTACGCGCGCACGCATGCACGCACGCACGCACACACACACACACGCACACACACAAAGCTATATGCAGCCATGGCGCGACCAGGCACAACCAAGCACCACACTGCACAGTCAATTGTAGACCATAGGTTGGAAGGTGCAGACATTGAAGGAAGACAGAGCAAACCAGACATTAAAGGCCCCATCTCAAACAGCAGAGGCAGAATTCCTAAAAAACGCCTTCAAAAAGCAACAACCACACACACATCCATGCACACACACACACACAACACTTGGCTGAATTTGGCCTTTGAAGTTCCCCAGCTGTGTTCGTCTAATCTAAAAGGCATTTTGCCCATCAGCATAGCAGAATAAAAGCATGATTCTTTATGGCTGAGTTATATTTTTGGAAGTTATAGACTTTATGAAGAACAGTTGGAAAGCAATAAGGAGAAATTCTCCAGTTAACTGAGATAAGACACAAGAAAATCCCAGAATGTCATGTACATATGATAATCATGTGCTGAATTCTTAGTGGACCACAGAGAGGCTTGCTTGTGTGCGTTCCACAACAATTTGAGGAAAAAACCTTCACAAAGCCACCCTCGGTCAAAGGCCTTCCTGAACACTGAGTGCAGACCACAAACTCTATGAGCATACTTCCTGTTCACAACACTCTACTGACTCTGATTGGTGGGTCTGCATGAGATGTTGGGCTTTAACTGTGAAACATGTAATGAGCTACCTACAGCACAGGGTCACCAAAAGGGATGTAAAAACACTGAGTCATAATAGAACACTCTATATGCAAGAAAGCCTACAAAGGGATGTGTTTTACTGTTGCTTTAACTGCAATAACACAGTGTACTTAATGTAGGTCAGGGCAAAAACACAGATACACAAGTGAAGACAGGGTGTTCCAAAATGTTTACTGAACAAATGTAAAATGAACTAAGATATTAAAAGTCTCTGTATCTGGTTACACCAGGAAGGGGCATAGCATAATTCATTCATTCACTCGCTCGGCATGATTGTAGGAGTTGGAATGAGTTATTGAGTGGGTGTTAAAGGGCAAGTGTAATGAGTGGTGTTTTACGTCTCAGTGGGTTTAGAGATTTTATAATGGCAACTAATTATGGTTTTCATTATTGATTAATAATTTGTTCAATACAATGTCAGGAGAATGTGACAATATATATATCATATATCACAATACTCTGGAAACCAGGTGTTCAGCAAAGGTCTTTTTTGTCTGAACAAGCTGTTGCTTTCGGAGTTCCCAATTGGTCAACAAGGGAAATGTGCACATAACATAAAACAAAGGTGAACTTCATAAAAGCCAATTTGTTCACTGATATTAACTTGAACTAACTTGTAATTTAAAACATTACATTGTCCTTATTAGACATAAGTTGTATAAAATACTGGTGTGGCTGACGTCCTAGAAAAATAGAAGAACTTTCTGGAGCCATAAAAAAGTTTGTAATCCTTCGATTATTTTTAAAACCTTAATAATCCCCAAATGTGGATATACCTGGTAACTTGATATTAACCATTTGCAAATAAGAGCCCCACAAATAAACACAGAGACATAGCAGTGTTCGAATGGGAAATCATTATGATGAAGCTGTTCTCTCTGTTTTTGGTTTTATCCTCTCAGTGCGTGGTCACAGGAGGGGCTCAGATATCCCAGCATGCATTAGGCAGCAGGGGATCCACCATTATGTCCACTGATCACTTAAGCATTTACAAAAAGCCCCAAATAGAACAATCTGAAGTGAAATTGTATTTTTGACATGCCCACTGGTTTGAATTTAGTTTCAATTTGTCTCACACTAGATCCAGATACAAGCTCTGTTCACTGGCGCACAATTTAAAGCAAAAATGCTAATGCTCTCTAATGGTTTTACTGAAAAATGTGTGTTAAATCAAATGCATTTGACCAATTTGCAAACAACTCTGAAGACAAACACAAATATTCAAACCCATATACACTGAGGGACAACCAACAGGTGTCCATTTAAAAAATAACTTGAATAGAAAAAGGTCAAGAGACAGGGCCGTGGACTTTAAACGCCTTTAAGTAGCCTTGATAGCTGCCCTGAGATTTGCCTGCCTCCGTATTAAGACCTCAGATTAGCAGTCGGTGCCTGGTTGGTAGCTGTAATCAGAATCCTGATCTAGTATAATCTCTTTTTGATAGTAATCAAGCTCACTGGTTTCAGGCGCAGCTCAGAGAAGACATCTTAAGCAGCAGGGGGTCAAGAAAAACAGATTTCCAATTCAAACATGAGACTTCAAAAATGTAATTTAAAAACTTGTGCGTGGTGGTTGTGTGTCTGTGATGACTTGCTTTGATGCGAGTCAGAAACGGCGCCCAGCTCCACTCAGAGTCGTGTTTAAGGATGAAGTGAAGCCGGTGTCTCTTAGGGTGCCTCCTGGGCCGCTTCTCTTTCAATATTTTATGAGCAACAGCCAAATCACCGTGTCGGAATAATTAAGCATCAGTTAGGGTACAAAACTAGAGAGAATATATTATGGAGGCAGCTCATCAGCGGAGAGGGAGTACTGAAGGAGAACAGTGGGGCTCCTCAGAGATCAGAGGCGGCTCACTCAGAGGAATCTCATTTTGCCATTACACTATATACAGCCTGATGATTTATTGTCTGAAATACCAGAGGAACTGTTGGCTGTAATGCGGAGAAGGGAATTCATAATGTTGCTAATATGTTGTTGTTGCTGCATTAGGTCCAAACAAGTAATGCAAATTGCACATCATGTGAAGGCAGCTTAAGACATAGCAATATTTGTTGATTTTGTAATAAGGTGCTAAGAGTCAAGCCAAACGTACAAAGTGTCTTGTAATCCACCAACAGTCCATCGAACTGGATTGGTATTGTAATTCTATTATCAATTATCTAATCTCATCAATGCGAAGTAAAAACATCAATACATATCGCCAGAAGGGAGCACTGGTCAAGCAGTGCAGCTTCTATAAATAGAACTGCACTGTCTTTCCTTTTTGTGTCTGCTTTGAAGACACCTTGCACTTGTGGACATCACATGTCAAAGCTAAAACTTTTTCAACAGTATATTCACCCCCGAGCCATGTGCATTCAACACAGCATTTATGTAAACAATCATTACAGTCTCAATGCGTGTCAGTGATGCAGACGTGCAGGTCGTTTTCAGGTACCTGCACGTTTGCTGTGTGTACGGTAGGTGGGTCTACATGAAGGCAGATTGCACTGTGTCTCTCTCTAACAGCCAGTTTCTAACGGGAGCTGACAGCCAGTGCAGATGCTGAGAGGAACAGCAGGAGAAAGTGCTCGGGATGTCTCCACACATCAAACATTTAAAAGGCCAACACAATCAGACAGGGATGCCACCTACCGCCACAAAGTGTACATCTGGCACTGAGTGACACTAACAACGGGATGATGTATTAAGTCGTTTGTGTGAACATGAGGCAGTGACAGCAAGAGAAAGATCTTGTGAATGGTTCTGATCTCATTATGGTACGAAAGGATCTTTTAGATGTTTAGCGGTGCTTAATCTGTATTATGGTGCTGATGATGTGATTGGTGAGGAAATAAAACATCATTGTGATAATTAATATCTTAGTCATCTATATGTTAACCTTTCTCCCTGTACATTTTCATTGGAAACTGTATGTCTTTGAGTTTGGATATCTTGATAGCTGAATCGATAATCAAATGTATTATTAGTTTCAGTACTTCACAATTAGCTGCTTCCGGTTTCTTGAATGGAAAGATGTTCTGTTTTAATATAATTCTATAACGAATATCAATGGATTTTGGACTGTTGGCCAATTGGCAAATAGTAATAATAATCGCTTTATCAATCAAACATGTCAAATATGATTGTTCTAGCATTTCCTGTGCAAAAATGTGCTGCTTTTTTTGTTTTAAATCACTCTGAATTGAGTTATGGACGGTTGATTGGTCAAAACAAGCAAATGTTCACTATTTTTTAAGCAATTAATCAAATAATTTAAATAGACACTACCCGAGAATGAGAATAAATGTTAGCAGTCCCTAACTCATCAGGTGATTCATGTAAACAAACCTATTTAGGGACATCACCTAAAACACTGTCAGATATGTAAATGGTTAAAGGTGTGCACACATTTTCCATTCAAAAGTTTAGACATTGCTACATCAGTTTACAAAACCTTAACATGTGCATCCTTGCTGAGCTCTCCTCGCTTCTGTAGCTCATACTCATAAAGTAGCAGCACTTTTAAAAGTAAATCCCTGCAGCTCTCAGCGATTACAAACTGTGTCCAAGTGGCCAAAGTATCTGCTGCAGAAATGCAGTAGCGGTAGTATGAAAAGCCATGTGAAACATTACAGCGGTGTAATGGCAACATCCCGGGGAGGATGTTGAAGCCGCTCTGCTAATCTCACACCGGAGTTAAATTCACAAGTAGCGGAAGCGACGGTTTTCCCCGGTGTAATTGCACGTTATTTAGGCTTTTCGTTACCCTCGAAATTCGGTAAAGTGAGCTAGCTAAAACTGCTCAAAGAGGAGCAGGAGTCGGGCATGCCTGTCCTCCTCCTCCTCCTGCCTGCCCCGCTTCCTCCTCCTCTACTGAGAAAAAATCCCCTTTTCTTCCCCCTCGTTTAGTTTCAACCAGTAACGGTTCCCCCTTAAACTAAATGTGAGCACTCACCTCTCTCCGGGTCGAGATGTTCACATGGAGGCGAGGGAAAAGCGGAAACCGGCAGATATCCTGGAGGTTTAAAGTTGTCCCGTTAGTAAAGACACAGCAGGGCTGAGGAGGAGAAAAGCTCAGTGTGTGTGACTCTGTGTGAATGTGTGTGTACAGCGACTCACTCCTGGAGGGCGGGGCTGAGAGGGGAGGAGGAGACTGAAGCGCACTGTGTTCATGGCAGGGGTGCACAGAGTGTATACATACTGCATTTGACATACTATGTCCGGCAGTGGCTCAGTCAGTAGGGGCTTGAACTGGGAGCTGTAGGGTCAAAGTCCCCGACCCGACCAGACCTAAAATATGGAGTGTGGACTGCTACTTGGAGAGGTCCCAGTACCTTGAGCAAGGCACCGGGGACCCCCCTTCCCCCCCCCCACTCCCATTGCTCCCCGGGCGCTGTATAATAGCTGCCCACTGCTCCTAGACTCCTGGTACTAGGATGGGTTAAATGCAGAGAACAAATGTCACTGTGCGTGCTGTGTGCTCTGCATGTGTGACCATTAAAGAGGGTTTCATCCCTCCCAATTCTATTCTATGTCTGTTTTTCAAATCCGTTTTTAATATTAACGAGTACTGCAGCTGCCGTATTTTTTTGGTATTGATGTCAGCCATCCTTGCAATATGAGCTAAATTGTACGTTTTGTAGGTGGGACAACAAGCCTGATCATCACTTTTTCAGGTTTCCCTGAAAACAGTGTTTGTTGTCGTCTGTGCTACATTTCTGTATCTAGTTGTGTTTGTTTATTTACATGTGTTCTCATGAAATAATGTGTTGTGCTTTCAGGGCCTTGACCCATTCAAGGTCCCCTATACATCTAAATGTGCTTGCATACCTTGGCACATACATACACTAACTGTGTACTTCTCAATGTTCAGAAAACTCTCCACAGGCTTTCTATTTAATGTATTATTCTAGCAGTCTCAAGTATGTCAAGATATGCTGAAGCTGACAATAAGAATCATTGCATTGTCTGCTCAGTCTCTCTGGTTAGAGAGTATAGGAAGAGAGTGTCTCTCTGAGTCTCTCAGATGTCTCTCCCATTATTTGAGATTTCCATTTTATTCTCTATAGAGTTTTGCCTAATTGTGTCTCTTTTCCTTTGTTCTTCTTCATGTCTTTACTCCCATGTCTTCTGTCCTTTTTAGGTCAAACCTCAAGCAAACACCCACCCATTATGTGAAGAGAAACAAGTGTCATTATCTTGGTTCCGGTGAAAGTGGCACAGGCTATTTTCTAAACAGTTCCTGAAAAGGATGGAAATGCAAAACAGGAAAGTGATATAATTGTACCTGGGCATTTATATTTATATTGAAAAAGAATAAACATGCTGCAAATTAATTGTAGTGTGTACAAAATAATAATATATACAAATTATATCGATGGGTCAGATATAAGAAAAAGTCAAACATTCTACACACTGCAAAAGCAAAGGATGAACACTCAGCCCTGTCTTCAAAAAATATATGTATATGCTACAAGTAAGCAACAGTTTAAAAAGAGTGTTTCCTGGACCAGTTCTTGATGCCCCTCTTAAGTGGAAGGTCTTTGTCTGCCCCAGTGAGACTCTGAATATCTAAAGCTGTCTGAGGTGGTGAAGGGGGAGCCTTATTTATTTTCTCTTTTCAATAATTCAATGATATTGCTTTTATTGTCTTGTAAAGAAAAATGCTGTCTACTGTCTAGACCCCTGGGGTTTCCTCAGTGATGCAAGAATTGTATTTCTCAGCTACGTTGATCATCAAAGTCTTTCTCGTCAAATGCTTTAGGTCAAAGACCAAGATATGAAGACGCCATCACACCTTTTCATCATGACAGGTAAGGAAGTCAATCTGCAATACTCATGGGAAAAACCCTGAATAAAGTATTTTATTATTGCATTTGTAACCCAAGATATACAGCATGTATTAAAATAAATATATTCAAACCTGTAAAGTATGATACAATGGGAAATACAAGTTTAAACATGGAAACACTGTGATATGAGAATCTGGGTCAGCTGTAATGGTTGATGGAGTAAAGTATTTGGTCACCCTGTACACTTCCTTTTTTCTCTTCTTAACCCAAATCTTTCTGGTCCCCTGGTGGCAGAAAATTGAGGGTAGGCTTAAGACTTCATCCTTTACATATTTTATGGATCTGCACTTGCCCCATTTCTCCTAAGGTGCAGAAAAGGCTGGTTGTTTTGTTGGGAGTGGCACCACTAAACAAAGCTGGTAAAATAAGAGTTGAGATTAAGGATTAAGTCAGTGCAGTGTCCCACACAAGTTGCTACTAAAATCTTTCTGGAGCCATTTAAAAGTGTATTTCAATGTTTTTTTAGGAAGTTCTTGACAAAAAGATTCTCATGTTTGCATACTTTTTATGAAGCTTAAATAAAGTTGTTTAGCTTAGCATAGCAGAGGAACAGCTTTGATCTCAGGAAGTCACTGCCAGGAAATAGTCTTATCCATATCCCTAATATAAAGATATAGCATGTTAGTTTTAAACATGCTATAGGTGGGTTGTGTTGCCTTTGAATAACCAATGATAGTTTCCTTTTATTTCTAGTTTGTATTCTGAGCAAAACTAATCCAACCATTTTGTGACTCGAGCTCTATAATCCATGGACGGACATGAGAGTATCAATCTTCTTGTATATGAGTCTCGACAGAAGGCAACTATTCCTTTAACTTTATCCACGGGAGGCTTGAAATAAGTGTAATGTGCTTTAAAATGATTAATCTCATTCTTAAGCGCTAAAATTGAAAGTGAGTCTTAAAGTGAGAAGCTTTCCATCATCAATGTTTATGGTTTGCAGGCAGCCGAGGAGGCACACTGTTCGTGACTAATGGCAGAAAACACAGACAGAAAACATCTGATGCTGCTGCAGATCTTTTCCTGAAGAAGCGGTTCAGGGAAGACCATTTTTCTTTGTCTGATGCCATTAAAAACTATATTGTAAATCTGCTCCAACAATACAGTCTTTCTATCCTGCATTGATCGACCCCTCTCTGTGATCTTCCTCTTCTCTCTGTGGTGACGACTGGATCAGTGCCAAGTAACTGCCAAGAGCAATGAGTCCAAGTTATTAAATCCAACCAGTAGGATAATAAGATATTAGCACATCAACACAGATGGAGCTCTTATTATCAACCACTTTTTTCTTTGCAGCCAATTTTATATCAATCAGACAGCTATTAATCACAGTGTAATTTAAGTAGTAATGTGTTGCCCCCTTTTTTTCTTTTAAGTGTGCTGCAGTTTATATTATTGACCGCTGTCCTGTGGTTAAAAGCACTGAGAGAACAGACAGGGCTGTCAATACCATAATGGCTTTTTCACTGAGAATACATGAGTGTTGGAGTGGGCGTAATGTTTCAACAATTTATCTTAGAATTGGATATAACCTCAGAAAAATACAGTTTTGCTGTTATTAAACGAAAACCCTGTTCACTTCTATTATCGAGAATTGTCTCTGTTTTTTATTCTTCATTCACCATGGAGGCTTCCAAGAGAAACACCGTTTTCTACAGCAATTCAAGGCACCACTGGGTGAATTATTGATACAAATAAAAAATAATTTTAAGAGTGAAATATTCCTCTTGGTAGACATTTTCTATACATGGTATAGAGTCAGCTTCTCATGTCATGATTCTCCTTGTGTCTGAATGTTAATATTCTTGTAGTGTCAAACTCTGCACATACATCATTCTGCACAGTGAAGGAACAAGAAGTGAAATACATTTGAGTGACGAAAGGCTTTGATGTGTGCATAGACCCTCAAAAGCAATGCACTCAGGGAACACATGAGCACGTATACGTCATAGTGATGCAAATGTAACAGTGACAAAAAACACATGTAGTCACTCCAGTCTAGTTGATTCAAAAAGCAAATAGGAGCACTTTACAGGCATGGAAAATTGAAATAGTGTCTGCTGCTGAATTGCCTGTAAGGGCTCCAGAGGGGGTTGCATCTCCTGGAGAGAGCAGCATTTCAGAAGACAGACTCGAGAGATCTGAATGAACTGCGAAAGCAACAGTGTTATTTCTGGTTACCCTCACAGAATATCTGCATTGCCCACGATATAAAATATGTTTTAAATACTGGCTTTGCATAATGCAGGAGAAGTCTACATGAAAATAAATAGCAAAATACACTTTATCCAGCCCACTCTTACTCTTTTGGTCCTGTAATAAAGTGGAAAGACGTTTCACTTCACTCATTTTTCCACTAACACTCAACTTGAACCTCATCCAAAAAAACCTGAACCTGTTGACATTAAGGTTTCTTTTTTTAGAAAACTTCTGCTGTGCAAGCGATTCTTCTGAGAGCTGAAAGGTTTGTCTCATCATTATGGCCCAAGGAAATCCACAAATAAATGTGTTTCCTGGGAGCACTAGTTATTTGCATATTGTCGGTGCCTAAGTTAAAAAGAAGGATTATGAATTTAGCAGCTGGAACAAGGCCATACAACACATAAAAGGTTGTTGTTCTTATATTATATTTGAAACACTTGAAACTATTTGATTTGTTGCTATCCACTCATTTAATGAATAATTCCACATTAATACACTTGTTTTTTTTCTTTCTTTGTTTTTTTGTGTGAAATATTCAAGTATCTTATCTCTTTGAAGCTCAAACTGTTATTTAACTGAAACCATTTTATAGGATTATATTTCTCTTTGGTGGAATTTCAACAACTAATATAAACACTTGACAAGGGGCCTCAGCTACACACTAACAAGCTAACAATATGGACAACAACTGGTTTAATCTTAAAAGAAACTAGGAACTACAGCTGTAATATAAATGTAGTGTGATAAAAAGTATGGTACTTTCCTTTCAAATGGTAATATCTAAGTAGCATAAATTCCACTTAAGTACAGAATTTGGGCTTATCATCATTGGAGGAACGCTGCATCATTCAGATTCTGCCACATCAACAGATTATTGAGCTCCTCTCCATCCTCTGATAGCAGCCAAAGATTACCACTCACACGTCATGCTGAGAGGAACAAAAACGCAGCTCTGAAGTCAAACCTGCAGGGCTGAACGTCTTTTGGAAGATTTGACAGTAAACTGGATTATACTGCAACTCCTCTTTGGTAACACAGTCCCAT